AGAGGGAAAGAAACATCAGTGTGTGGTTGCTTCTCATGTGCCCCCCACGAGGGACCCGGCCCACAACCCAGGCATGTGCCCTGCCTGGGAATCGAACCAGCGACCCTTTGGTTCGCAGACCAGCGCTCAGTCCACTGAACCACACCAGCCAGGGCTGCTCTGTGATTGCCATTCGTTACTGTCCAGTAGAGTGTATTATGAGGTGTCCTGTATTTACCAGGAATGAGATGACTTTGATTTAAATTGGGAGGCTTTTTCACCTTTTAAGTAAAATGCTTTGTACTTGCCTGTCCTCCCCTCTTCACAAAACAAACAAACAAACAAACCCAAAACTTCAGACTAATCTGTCAAATAATCCATTTGGGAAACAGCACCAATTTGTGTATACGTGTATGTTTCTAAAGCAAATAACTAACTTCTGTTTGGAGACCTGGAATTGAAACCTTGTTGAAGAGAAGCAAACCCATTAGTCAGAGATTGAAAACGCCCACGTTAACGTGAGCGGAAGGGGAGGGTGGTTAAAAGTAGCCAGTGGCCTGTTTACTTGCTGTGTCGGTGTTCAAAGGAGCTCCTGCCCACTTGGGGCTGCAGACCGTTTTGTACGTACGCCTGTCAGCGGGCGAATTCACCAACGTGGCTTTGCACACACACTCCAAGCAGTTGTGAGGTGGGTTCCGTCAGACACCGTTCTGGTTTTTTTAATGCAGTTCAAGAAGACAGTTTCACGTGAGCAGGCAAGACCTGTGTGCCCAGGAAGAGGAAGGCTAGGGGTCATGCAACAACCTGTGGACAGAGTCGTGGGAGGCGGCTGGGCCGGGCACGGGGGTTGGGGGGCCAGAGGGGTCCCGGGCCCCACCAGGACAGCGACGAGGGGTGGGTGGGCAGAGGAGCAGTCGTTCTGCCTCCGTTTAAAGTCGAACAAAGGGCTCTAAAAGTTTGCCTGCCTCCCCCGAGGCCGCCCCTTCCAACTTTTGGGGGCCGGGGCGGCCGTGGCGTGTTCTGCTCCGTGTCCCCGAATGACACGCCTCTAACAACACGTCTTGATTTTTAGTTCTTGAAATTGTGTTCACTTCCCACGCCCCGGACTCCGACTTTTCTTCCACAACAGAATTTTTTTTTTTTTTTACGTTTTTGGGGCTTGGTGGACGTTGTTCTCACCGGTTGAGCTGTGGGGTGAAATGACTCTTTTTTCTGCACAAGTTTGTTCATTTTTGTTTTTCCCGGAGTTTTTTGTTCTTAGTTTCCCCCGCACTTGACTCAGTCCCCTCACCCCGGCCGGGGTCCTGCAGCCCACCACGCGCTCAGGAGCCACAGGCCTGGTGACACGTCACCTTTTCACGGGCTCTCTCCGGGGCTCCGACCGGCTGTGCCCACTGCTCACACGTCTCCCCGGCCTCCCCACCTGCACCTGCACCTGCACCTGCACCTGCACCTGCACCTGCACCTGCACCTGCGGGCTCCCTCCCCTCCCCCCTATTCGCCCAGCTCGCTCTCTCCGTGATTGCTGACCCCCAGGGGCATCCTGGGAAGGGGCAGCGGCTTTGTTCCTCACTCGTGCCCGTTGACGGCGCGGCCAGACCCTGGAAACCCTCCCTCTCTCCGTCGGCGCTCGACAGCGGCGCCTCGTGACTCCCGGCGTCGTGAAAGCAGCTAGTTTTAGCCCCCTCCCCCTTATTTCCCTGCTTTCCCTTTCAGGGTCTTGGGTTCCCGAGTTCTGAAATCGCAGGATGGGAATCAGCTGGGTCTGTTTCACGTGTCCCGCGGGGCAGCACGAGAGGGCGGGGGCCGGGTCTGCCTGGCCCCGCGTGCCCCCGCTTCCACTCCCCTGCCCCGTTCGCTCGGAGCTCCACAGTGATCCACAGTCACTCGGAGACGGGGTCCCCCGGACCAGCGCTCTGGGGCTCCTCCCTCCTCCCCCCATCTTCCATCTCTTTTTACTTAGCTTTACTTCCCAACCCCCTGCCTTTGGTGTTTCGTGTCTGAGGGTTTTGTTTTTGTCCCCAGGGGTTCCTTGGTTTTTGGGGTTTTTTTAGCATTCTACTTGGCTTCGTGGTGGCAATATACCTTTTACTCTGAGAAGATAGGAGAGGCAGTTTCTGTCCGCCGGCACAGTCTCCGGTCTCTGCTGGCTCGTCTTGGACGCCCTTCGGGGGCTGCACCATGGGGCCTGGCGAGCCCGTGGGATGCTCCTCGTGGGCGTCCGCTGGGCTCCTGGGTGTGTGCAGGCTGGTTGGCCGTGAGGAGGGGCCCGTCGGGGCCTCGCTAGTGGGTCACCCCGAGGATTCTTCCGGCCTGGGGGTAAGGCGGGGGCTGCCAGCACCCCGGGAGCTAGCCCAGAGGGGCAGAGGCGTGGCCTGAGGCGGTGGGTCTGTCTCTGCTTCCCGTACAAACTGCCTTTTGAATTTCCCTCCGACCCTGCAGCCGCTGAGGCCCACCCGGGAGCCTGGCGGCTCTGTCAGCTTCTCCGGGCGAAACCCTGCAGACTTCTGCCTGGGTGGGGAGGGACAGTCACCCAGCGGGGGGTGGCGGTGGTGGAGGGGTCGGGGCGAGGGAGAGCCTGGCCCTCCCAGCTGCGCCTTAGATTTGAACCGACTCCTCCGCTCCCTGCCCCACCTGCTTCCCGAGCCGCCCAGCACGTCCCCCTGCCGAGTCTCCGGGGCTCTCCCAGGCCGGCTGGGACTGCTCCTCGGCCTTCCCCCACGGCCGGTTCCAGGCTCCGTGTCCTGTGTCGGCCGAGCCGGTGCCACCGGCACACCGGCTCTCTCCCGCCCAAGTTCGCACTTCAGTCCCTGTCCCTCTCTCCGTTCCCGGGGGTCTTAAAAACGTCCTTTCACAGCCGCTTCAGGGGCGAAGAGGAGGCAGCGAGACTAGAGGACAGACTCGACCCAGCATCTCGGCCGGTAAGTCCTCCGGCGTCCCGCCGGGTTGCGGCGGGCAGGGGCTCCCGGTGCCGGCCGTTCCTGGGCAGCAGGTGCAGGCCCTTGGGCGGGGAGGGGCGCCTGTTTTCCCGGGTCTGTCGCCACGGCGGGTAACCGAGATGACAGACACACGACATGGATGTTTGGGGAGAGGCATTGGACGTGTGACTGCAGCCCTCCAGTGTGGACTGGGTTTCCCACACGGACCAAACGCTTTCGTGTGCATATCCTGTTCGCAGACTCAAGGAGCTGTAACCTGTGGGTTGTCGGTTGTCGTTGGTCTGGTGTGAGGTGGCATGTAACGGCTTTTCCCAAAGTGGCAGCCACCCCGTCCAGCACGCTGGGAGGGCCGTTCTGCCCTCGCTGAGCCCCCTCCCCACCCCGGGTCAGCAAGCACGCGCGCACTCGGACCAGCCCCAGGTCTTGGGGAGCGGGGCTCCCACCCCAACGGGAGAGCAGCATCTTAGGGCCTCGCTGTGCAGGCCGGCCTGAGGCCCCGCGGCCGGTACCCCCGGGATCCACGCCAGACCCGCTGACCCGGAGGCCCGGGGCAGGGCCCACGGCGGGTGTTTACAGAGGCGGTTCTGACCTCGTGGCTGCACCCTCGTGGCTCCAGCTGGAGACTCCGAGGGCTGGGCCGGCACTGAGCACGAGCCCCAGGAGGGCGGGCCCCCCCATCAGTCTCCGGCGTTGACCTCGGCCGGCCGCAGGACACAGGCCGCCGGGCTGAGGCGCTCACGGTTCTGGAGGCAGACAGGTGGGTCCCGTTGAGGGGCGGCGGGCCCGGCGCAGGTGCTGGCCCTGATGGGGGCCAGGTGTGCCCGCCGTTGGCGCACCTCCGGCACGGGGAGTCCCAGCCGCTCGCACGTTCCCCGGTGAGCCCACGGCACGCAGCGGCGACCTTGCCGGGGAAGTGACGCAGCTCCAGCCCCGAGGGCCCACGGCCACCACCCCAGGGACCGTGGGAACCTCTCCTGCTGCCCGGAGTGGAAACCGGATGGGTCTCCACTCCCCAAATTCCACCATCTGGTTCCTCAGCATAGTTCCCCGAAGCAGGTGGCCTGTGGGCTGGGCTCCTCCACGGTCACGGTCACGGCCGTGGCCCTCCCGGGCCCTTTTCCCTGTGAAGTTGGCCGTGGTTCCGGGCTCCCGGGTGCCACCACTGGGTTCCGAGTAGACCAGGGTTTTCCCGGTCTGTCCGCCCTAGGACCGCCTGGTGCCGGTCCACCTGCACACTCCTGGGGGTCTCGCCCACGGAGCTCTGGCCAGGGCCCCCGGGGTCTGCACTCGAGAGCTGGGCTTCGCAGCCGCCCCAGGGACCCCTGTCCGTCCACAGAGGGGGCCCCGGGCTCCCGAACGGGGTATGGGCCCTTTGACCCAGTGCGAGGGGAGGGACTCCGGGAGACCTGGGATTTAACTGCCCTGCTGGGCCTGATGATCCCTCATTCCTGTCCTTTGTCCCTCCCAGTGGTGACTCAGAGGAGCACTTTCTGGCTCACCCAGCCTGGGTACCTCAGAAACACGGCAGGACTTTTTACTGCTTGCTCTGGGCGGCGTCCTGGGTTGTGGGAAGGCACCTGCGGGGGCACAACGAGGTGGTGACAGCCACTTTCCTAGGCTGGCTCTGTCTTCCGGGCCCCAGCACAGACGGAGGGTCAAGGTGGACCGACAGGGGCAGGGCCCCGAGCCCCCAACTCTGGAGCCCCTCGGAGTTAAGGCCTGAGAGAGACGCAGGTTCCTGCCCACGCCCCCCTCGTCCTGGCAGGACGGCGTTAGCCCACGGGCCACGCATCCTTCTAGAAACAGGCGTTGCTGGGTTGGGGGGCGGATCTGGAGGAGCAACAGCTGAAAGAGTTTGCTAGAAAGTATTCCCCTCTGGGTTGGAAGAGCACCTGGCAGGTCCGAACACGTGTGCGGCCGAGAAAACAGGTTGGAAAGGGTTTTATTTCCTGCTCCGGTTCCAAAGGGCCCGGCATTCCTTCCACACGGACCAGGCGGGCGGGCGGACACGTGCGGCGTTCACGCGTCCCCACACTTCTGGTGCTATCGAGCAGGGTGGCGGCGGGCGGGCGGGGACGAGATGGGGGACGGGTCCTCGGGGGCGCCCCTCCTCCCCGCCCACCTCGTCGCCGCCCGCAGCCGGGCTGGGCCGGGCGGACCCCGACCGCCAGTGGGGGGCGCCTGTGGCCGTCCCTGCCGCACAGCCGGATCCCGCCCGGGGCGGTGCGCGCGGACTCTTGGGCGGTGGCGGAGGCACCGGTGCGCGCAGACACCGGGGCGGCCGCGGCGGTGGAGACACACGGCGGCGGGGCAGGTGAGCGTGGCGGCGGGACCCCGTGGCGGAAGCGCGGCGCCCCGGCGCACGGAGCGCGCCCAGGGCTTGGGGAGGGGTTGGCTGGGATGCGCCCGGCCGGTCCTCGGGCCTGCCTCGCGGTGGGGCCCCACCGGGTGGAGGGCTGAGCCGGCCCCTCCCTCGGCTTCCTCCCCAGGCCCGGGAGGGGCACAGCGGGGGACAGCAAGCGGGTACCGGCCCACACGGGGACCCGGTCCCGCCCCCTCCCCTTCTTGGACTCTGGCCGGAGCCCGAGGTGGGCTCTCAGGTGCTCCCTCCCTGGCCCTGTGTTCTTCCCGCCTCCCCCTCCAAGACCCACGCGGGGGAATGTGCCCAGAAGGGCCCCAGTGCCATTGTCCTGACCGCAAGACAGGACAGAGCTCTGTGTCCCTCCCTGGCTCCTCGCCCCCTTCGTTGGGAAAGCCCTGGGGCTTACAGGGGCGGCAGAGAAGGACAAGTTTGCCTGTTTCCCTGCCCCCGACAGGGGGCTCCCCCGAAGGGTCCGCACACGGCTGACCCTGGGACCGCGGACCGGGTTTGACTGCCCGGCCCACTGATAGGCGGTGTGCGGGTTTCCTCAGCAAATTCCCAGGCGGCCCACCGCGCCCCCGGGTTTCCCATCCAGGTGTTCGGCGGCCGAAGGCGGGACACGGTGTTTCCCATCCCTGTGGTCGGGGACCCCCTCCCGCCGAGGGCCTCGCGCTGTTCTGTGTGTCTTGTTCAACGCCACTTTTTTATATGAGCGGCTCGAGCGTCCTGGGGTTTCTCGGTGCTGGGGGGCGGGACTGAAACCAGCAGCCGTGGGTAACAGAGAGTGCTGTGGTTAGCAAGCCCGGGGGGGGGGGGTCGGAAGTTACACGTGGGTTTTCCACTGTGTGGGGGTGGGCGCCCCGTCACCCTCTTTCCTTGTTCAAGGGTCAACTGTAGTCTAAGATTTTATATACATATATATACATATATATGTGTGTGTGCCTGTGTGTGTGTGTGTGTATATATATATTAGAAAGGGTAAGGGGGAGAGAAGGAAACATCCACGTGTGGTTGCCTCTCGAGCGCCCCCTACTGGGGACCCAGTCCGCAACCCAGGCCTGTGCCCTGACTGGGATTCAAACCTGCGACCCTTTGGTTCACAGCCCGCGCTCCATCCGCTGAGCCACACCAGCCGGGGCTGTAGTCTGTTTGAAGTGCGAACAGCTCAAGGGAAGAAAACTCCATGAGGGCCAGACTGGGGCTGGGGCTGGAAGCAGCTCTGCCCCAGCTGACGGTGAGCAGGACCCCGAGCAGTTAGAGGAGGGGCTGTGGCTGGGACTGTGGGCAGGCAGATCCCTGAGCTGGGTCCCCCCTGGGGGAACCCCAAACCTGACCTGTCCCGTGAAGGGAGTGGTTGGAAGCGGGGCCTGTGGTCTGGGGGCGCCCTCTCTCCTGGTTTCTACCTGGTGTCCCCGAGCCAGAGCTGGAGACCCGTCTGGGCCCCGAGGCGGGGAGCAGAGCCTTTGCGGTGAGGCCCACGGGTGCCGTGTGTGGCCGGGCTGCGCCCGTTGTCTGTTTGGGGCCCTCAAGGTGGCTGACGTCTGCTGAAGGGCGATGTTCAGCAGTGGCGTGAATGGGTGAGGGAGGGAATGAGTGAGGGAAGGAATGAATGAATGAGTGAATGAATGAATAAGTGAGGGAGGCCATGAGTGGCCAACAGGAGGGCGGTGGGCTCGGGCACGAGGCTGAGGTGACCTGGCAGGCGGGGGCTTTGGGCTTTGAGACGAGGGGACTCGGGCATTCGGTCACTGCTTTCCCGTGCGGGCGGGTGCCCCCCACCCCGTGAGGAAAGCTCGTCCGCTGTGGGCTTGGGGCCAGGCCGCACAGGCTGCAGGTGCGGTGAGGAGCCCCACACGGGTGGCCGGCTGCGCCTGGGGACCGGGGGGCGGGGGGCAACTGCGCATGGGGAGTTGGGTCTCCCGGGTGCCTTTTGGAGCTCGCCCCTCGCCCCTCGCCCCTCGCCCCTCGCCCCTCGCCCCTCGCCCCTCGCCCCTCGCCCCACCCTAGGACCGAATGCTCAGGATCCTCAGATGGGTCCTCTCTCCTCAGCCCCCAGGCCTTCGAGAGTGGGTGCTCTCAGACCTTTTGTGGGAGAGGGCAGGGGGAGGTGGGAGCCCTCCCGTCTCCGGGGCCGGATGGCTGCAGAGCTGTGGCTCCCTCCTCGTGTCATGTGATCCTGTGAGTTAAGCAGGGACCGGGGCCTGGCCTCCCGGCCTTCCCGTGGTTCTGGAAGGGTCTGTCGGAGTGCACAGCAGGAGCTGACCCCACCTCGGCAGACAGAGTCTCCAGTGGTCTCCCACAAACCCTCTCCCAGGGACAAGACACACTGCCGCCCACCACCCGGCCTCTGCCTTCCTCCCTCCTGTTCCTGCCCCGTACCCGGGGTGCTCCGGGGCTTGGCTGCTGAACCCCGCCTGTGGAACCCCCTTTCCCTGTAGCTGGACACAGACAGACTGCCGAAGGGCTGCTGTGGCTCCTGTGGCACAGGGAGCCGGCCTGTGCCCGGGAGGGGGCGGGAGTGGGTGCGGTCCTTGCCTTCCTGAGTCCGCCGGCCAATAGGAGACACAGAGTGGCTGCACCTTGACCCCAGACCCCGCTGGGGGGAGAGGCCCGTGCAGGGCGGGCCGGTCGGAGGAGGGGCGGGAGGAGTCTTCATTGGGGTACCTCTGGGAAGCTTGTTGATAGATAGTTTTCTTATTCATTCATGCTTCCTGCGTTTTCAAAACTGGCTACAATGGGGAAGAAAAGCAAAACTTGATTCCTGTTTTGTCTGTTCTGGAAAAGTTTCAAGAGCAGTTCTGTGGGTTTGAAACTGGGCAGTGGGTTTGCCAGTGGGGTCGGAGGCCGGGGTAGGCTTCCGAATTTAATGGGGGGGCCCATGGGGAGGCCTCGGGGTTTCGAGGTGTTCCAGTGCCGGGTAGCGTCCAAACCCAGCAGGAAGCCTGGACCGCGGGTGCCAGAGCCGCTCGCTGGCCTGCCACCTGTCCCTGTGCGTCCGGTGGCATCCATGACTCACGGCTGCTGGGTGGAGAGCTGGCCAGCGGGCGGGTGGGAGCCAGGGTGACAGCGGCCCCTCCCCAGAGCTGGTCAAGGCCAGGGGGTGACAGTGGCAAGTTGAGGGACCCTCCAGGCCCCGAGCGACGCCCATTTGGGAACCAGAGAGGGAGGGGTTTCCCAGGCTGAGGCACCCGGCCTGGGGCGGAACGGCACACGGAGGGCTCTGGGCCCCGAGAGGAGAGGGCAGCCCCTTCTTCCGGTGGGTCCTCAGGGGGAAGCTGAGGTCGGGGGTCCGCTGGTGGGCTCCCCCTCCTCTTCCTCCTGGCAGGTCCTGCCGTGTGACCCCCGGGGCCCCGAGCCCTGTCCGTCTCTGCCGTGTGAGCCCCACCCCCTCCCCTCCGGCCCCCACCGTTCCTGCCTCCTGGAAAGCCTTCCCTGCAGCACAGCCCCCTCTTGGGCGGCAGACCTCAGGGGTCCCCGGGAGCACACAGGTGGTCTGTGGGTCAGGGACATCGCCTGGGGGTCCTCCCCAACTGGATGGTCACTTTAAGAGGGGAAGGGAAAGGCAGGAGGTGCTGCCCACCCCACCCCACCCCACCCGGCCTTGCATGGCCCTCTCTGCCCCCCCCCCCACCCCCAGCTTATACAGAGGGGCTGGCAGGGGCCCTGCAGGGCGGGGCGCTGGGCGCTGGGCCAGGTGCGGGGGCTGGCGGCCCAGCCCTCGCGCCCCGGCCCACGGCCTCCCGTTAATGAGCACCTGCCGAGTGAGTGGCCGTCCGCAGCCGCCGTCCAGCTGTTTGCGCGAGGAGGCCATTTTCAATGATTAACGAAGGCTGGTGTCTGCGAGGCCCCCCGTCTGGAGGGAGCCTCCCGGGCCTGGGCTTGAGTCCCGCTCCCCCTTCCCAGCCGGGTGGCTTTTGGTCAGGGGCTCCGGCCTCCCTGGGCTCCAGTTCCTCGTGCACGACAAGGAGGCGCTAAGAAGACGTGTCTCAGAGGCCCAGGGGCAGGTCCAGATTGAAGGAGACCAAGGAGGCATGACAACCAGATGCAGCAGGTGAACGTGGGCTCCCCCTGGCCCTTGAGGAGGGGGGTGCAGGGCAGGGTGCCAGCCGCCCCAGGAGGGGCTCACGGAGGGGCTCACGGAGGGGCCCCCCGCTGCAGTCTGCCTCTTGGTTTGGTGTATGTAGGTGGGCGTTTCTCTCCCCCTTCCAACCCCCGGTCGTCTGTGAAATGGGGCTGTACCGCCTTCCTGGAGGGGGTCGGGCAGGTTGGCGGGCCTGGCCTGCAGCCGGGGGTGTGGGGAGCCCTGTGTGTGGGGCTGCTAGCGCTTCCGTGCCACCTTTGGCCTCTGGTTCCCCAGCAGCCGGGGCGCAGGGTCAGCGGGCGCCCAGAAGGAGAAGGACTGAGCAGCCGGCTGCAGCCGACGGGCAGGGGGCAAGGCCGGCTGGCTCTGGCTGGCTGGACCTTGCCGGCGGGCCTTCCGGTCCCCACCGCACAGCAGAGACGGTGGGAGCCGCTCGACCCACTGGGTGAGCTCGCTGTGTGGCAGGGAGACCGCGGCTCAGAGAGGCAGAGCGGTCCCCAGGGGTCCCACTGGGCCAGGCCGCCTCGGCCTGCTGGGCCGGGGCTCTGAGCCTCGTCCCCGGACACGAGGAGGAAGTCACCTCCTGTCTCCTCTCTAGTGGCTGTAATTTTTTTTTAAAGATTTTATTTATTTTTAGAGAGGGAAGGGAGGGAGAAAGAGAAACATCAATGTGCGGCTGCTGGGGGTCATGGCCTGCAACCCAGGCATGTGCCCTGACTGGGAATCGAACCTGGGACACTTTGGTTTGCAGCCCGAGCTCAATCCACTGAGCTACGCCAGCCAGGGATATGGCTGATTTTGTGCCACAAATACGACTCCCATTTCTCACTGAAAAATCAGGAACCCTAAGTGACAAGGAGGGACCACCCAGAATCTGTCCTCTTGGAAGTAGCCCGAGAACACAGCAGTGTACGTCTTTCCAGGCGGCTTTGAAAAACAACACCACCCCAAACCCTGTGACGGTAGAAAGTCCTGAGCCCCCAGTTCTCCTTCCAGGGCCCGCGGGGCGGCCGGCTCTGCCGACGGCCGGGCCTGGGGAAGGACGGCGAGGCGTCTGCCGGTGTCGCCCGCTGCCAAGTCTCTCGGAGGAAGCGAGGCCGCGGGGTTGGCAGGGCCGCGGCTTCCACATCTGGTCTTTCAGGATTCTCCGCTGTTATTCAACACGCGGCCTGACCCGGGCTGCCCCCGTCCTCGGCCCGGGCCCTGTTGCCCAGGCTCCGCTGAGGCAGAAAGGAGGGGGCGGTGGGACCCGGCTGCCTGGCCTCCGGGCGCCGTGCCAACACGACGTGCAGTTGCTCATCTCTCTGCTCCGGCGTCGGAACTGGGACCAGCAGCCACCCTTCCGACTGAGCCCTGCACGGGGGGCAGCGGCCGCCGGGGGGGGGGGGGAGGGGGCCAGGGCGTTAGCAGAGGCGCTGCGTCCGCAGCACAGGTGTTGACGTGGGTTGTGGATCGCTTCAAGGCTCACCCCGCCGCCGCCTCTTAGCACCCTCTGCGGAGGAGTCCGCAGGCCCGGTTGCATCCCGTAACTCGTACCTGACCCCAGGGGGCCCCTTCTGCTCTGGACACCCGGCGTCCCGCCCGTCGCGGGGAGGGACCCCTTGCGTGTCAAGGGAAGGGAAGGGACGAGCCAGAGCCCCTCCCCATGTTCCCAGGAAGGGAAGGGAAGGGAAGGGACCGGCAGCGTGTCCCTGAGCCCTGGAGGCCCAGGTGAGTCGGTGCGCTGGAATGCACCCCCGCCCCCACCCCCACCAGGAGGCATTGGGCTGCAGCGGCTGGGGAGGTGGGCCCGCGAGGACGCACACTGCTGCGGGCCGCTCGGGGGCTCTGCGTCTGCTGCGCGCTCCTGGGGAGGGTCCGGGCACGGGTCCGTGCGGCAGAAATGTCATGGGGGCGTGTCGCGTGCCTGTGCTGGGGCCAGGTGACTCTTTCCCTTGTGAGCAGATGACAGGTGACCCTCACTCCCTCCTGAGCTGGTGGCACTCAGAGAATGAGGCAGTCCCGTCTGGGCCTGGCCTGGGGGACCTGCTTCCAGGACGGGCAGGTCGGTGCTGGTTGGCAGGAGGCCTGGGTCCCTGCGTGGTGAGGTCACGCGCCTCCACCACGCGCCCTCACCACGTGGTGGCTGGCTGCCTGCCCCCACCAGCCGGTTC